TCTCTCTCTCTCTCTCTCTCTCTCTCTCTCTCTCCCCCAGAGAACTTTGTCAAAAATGCACTGGACTATCTGTTTTGCCATTGTATAGAGTGTATGTATTTTGGTTGCTATCTTTCTTGCCTAGGCGTCCCTCTACTAATATTACCGTTTTAGTTCCCTTCGTTTCTCCATTATCCGATTTTGTAAGTGCTGCAGTCTTTCCAGAGTGGCGCTCTCCATTTTTCAACCGCATACCCCTTGTCCTTTCGTTTTCCCTTTTCGTGTGTGTGTGTGTACTTTGAACCCCGCTTCTTCCTGGCCGCGTAGGTCTCACGCAACGTTTACCGATGATAACTTGGGCCGCTTTTTTTTGTTGTTGTCTCTTGTCCTCTTCCTCCTTGTTCTTGTTGATAATCTACGTGCGAGGTGGCGAAGACGCACGCCAGGCGTAGTCGGCGGTGTGCCGCAGTTCTCATTTCAATTGGACGGTCCACTGCACTTTCCCTCGAATGGATTCCTTGGTTGCGGGGGGAGCCGCGGGTCTCGTGGTGGACCTCGTCCTTTACCCCATCGACACGATCAAAACACGCCTGCAGTCGAAGACTGGCTTTTCGCAGGCAGGTGGGTTTCGCGGGGTGTACAAAGGCCTTAGTGCTGTCGCCATCGGGTCCGTGCCCGGTGGTGCCGCCTTCTTCGTTGGCTACGATCTCACGAAGCGGGCACTTTTGGAGGACGATGCGGCGAGCAGCCCCAGTACGCTGCGTCGACTGACATCGCAGGCTGTGGCGGCGATGGCGGGTGAGACCTCAGCGTGTCTCACACGCGTGCCTACCGAAATGGTAAAGCAGCAACTCCAAGCGGGCCATCACCATAACATCTACCTTGCACTGCTGCACATAACGCATAATGTACCACCAGATGCCACCTCCGTGGCCGCACCGAAAGGAATACGTTGGCTCGGTCTCTCGCGGCTTTTCACGGGCATGCCCATAATGTTGCTACGCGAACTGCCCTTTGCCGTGGTGCAAATGTCTTGCTACGAGGGGCTTAAGGCATCTCTTCACACCGAAGAGAGACCGCAGTATTTGCCGCTGTGTGGGGCATTGAGCGGGGGTACGGCGGCGTTTCTCACAACACCACTTGATGTGTTGAAAACACGTATTATGCTTGGACAGGTGGGGAGTTCGAAGCTTGCGCCACTCGGTGGAATTGCTGCGGTTCGTGCGGCATTTCACGAGTTATTGTGTGAGGCGCCGCGGGCAACCGACAAATGGGGAGGGGCGCAACGTTTTTTTAGGGGAGTTGTCCCACGCGTGATGTGGATTTCGGTCGGCGGAAGCGTCTTTTTTACCACGTACGAAGCGGTGCGGCGTGGTTTCCTGTGGGCAGCGGCACCGTAGCAGTACGCGAAAAAAACGCTACGACTAATATAATTCTCATCTGTGTGTGCACGCAGGGGGTGTCTCGCAAGGAGAACGATTGTGGTGTCACATGACTCTGAGGCGAAACAGGGGGGCGCGTCAAGATAAAATATGTCGAGTGGCGCCTCTCATGCGGTGGGAGAAACAACTCACGTAGGCCTACATCCACACGTATTCGCTTTAGATAACCATTAGCTGACAATTGGTCTCACATAGACTTAATTGTGTGCTTTTTTTTTTCGTCTCTTTTTATTTTCCGTTTTTTTTTTTGGGGGGGGGGGGAACGGGTAGTAAAGGGGGTGGATAGGTTTGCACTGTTTTATTCACCCCTGCGTATATCTCCTTCCACAAGGAACTGGTGCGTGTGTGGCTGAGTAGTTAAGAGACAGGGGGGCGAGTGGGAGATTTTAAGGGTAACGCCGTAACAATAAACGGAACGGAGTACAAAAAGGGGCCTGCGTGAAGGGCATAGTAGGGGAGTGGCGGAGGACGCATGCATCGCAGCAGAGGCGGCACCGCTGGGCACATAAGTAGAGGCGGTGCTGAGGGGAGTGGCGGGCGCCGGGGCGGGCGGGTCTTTGCTCCTCACTATCGTCGGAGCCGCATGTCGCCATCCGCGCAGGTATCACCGCAGTCGCAGCCAGGCGCGTCGGAGCTCGATGAGTACTCCCAGGAAATTTTCGATTCTGCGCTGACGGCGCCAATGCGAGGGATGGCTGACACCCACAGTTTTTGTCTCCATCATCAATTCCCGTACCGCCAACAACAGAGGCAGTTTCACTGTCAACGACGCCACAGAGAGCAGGTGATTCCCATAACCTCCGTGCACCACGGGGCAACTGAAATTTCAAGAGCGCGTATTGAGTTTGGTGCCGCTAGTTATGTTCACTCAAAGCGTCACGAAGTTCAGAGCAGTGAGACCCACAGGGCATTCATGGGTGAGCATCCCCATGCTTCTTCGACGGCGCCGAATGCGACGGTGCTCCCTCCTCCACTTGTGTCTCGCCCCAGTAGTAGTCAACCTGTTTCCAGTAATCTTACGAGAGGCTGTTCAGCTTTTCCGCGGCACTCATTGCAGTCCTCGCCCCCGACAAGTTTTTTTGGACAACAAAGCGCCAGTGACCTTCACAGTGCCCATCGTACGCGCAACCCCATAGATAGGAGCCGTCAAGAGGCTCGTGCTCAATCCCTTTGTGGTTTGGAGGGAGCGGGTGGCGTCAGGACTGTGGATTTGGCCTCCGGAGCCACGCACATGCGACTGCAGCAGCAAACTGATCAGGAAGCGTCTTCGTTTCTCCAGAGGGGAGGGAGTTCTCTAGCGATGGAGATGCGTCTTCCAGAACCACCTGACCAGCAGTCAAGCGAAATCCCTTTTCCATCCCCCTTGTATCTTGAAGCGACGGAGTGGGCAAGCCCAGCGGCCACAAGACCACGTTGCGGCACTCACATGCGTCCGTTTTACGCTAATTATGGCCACAATTATATTCCATGTATGAGCGAGGTTAGTACTCCACCGGGTGGCGCCGGTACAACGCTGGCTGCAACTTCCACGCCTCGGGAGGATACCGGTGCAACAGCGACAAGTGACAGCAGTTTGGTGAAGGTGATAGAAACTGGGGAAGCGGCGGGGCGGGGGCAGCAACCAGGACAAGGTGAAGGGGAAGGACAGTATGAGCAACGACGAAGTGGGGGGGATTCGACAAATGCGCCCAATCTCCCTCCCTTCGAGCCTGCTCGGTGCGAACCGGTACCCTCTTCAGCTGAAGGAACCTTAGTTCACCCGCCGCCGCTCTCATCAAAGCAACCGCGACCACTATCTCATCAATCAGACACCGATAGGAAGGAGACGATGCCAAGATACCTCCTTCCTCCGCAGCCGGAATGTAATGCTGGCCGCATTACATGTTGTCTAGACCTTGATAACACGCTGGTGTACACATTTCAGCGGCCACCATCGTGGTGGGATCCGGAGAACAATCCACTTCACCTTGAAATTGAGATTGCGTCATCCGTCTCTGGAGAGGGGGAATCTGATTTCGATAAGCGGACTTATGACGACCATCCCAGCGTCATATCACTTTCTTTTTTATCTTCACAACACTTAGATTCCGATACTTGCAGGGGGGTAGCTCAGCCTTCACCACAAGATCGGACGCGTCCAAGTAATCCGGATCGTCATTATGTCTGCATTCGCCCATATGCTTTCGAATTTGTCCAATTCTGTCTGGAGAAGTTTGAGGTGGTCTTCTTCACCAGCGGCACGGAGGAATACGCACAGCCAATCTTTGATCATCTGGACCCGAGGCGGGCTGCCCACCGTCTGTACCGTCACCACTGCACAGAGTGTGGCGAGGGAATGTACATGAAGGACCTCTCGCTTCTAGGACGCTCGCTTGATAGTGTTATCCTTTTCGACGACCGTGGGCCCGACGTAAGCTTCCAGCCAAAAAATGTGTTATTTTGTGAACCTTTTATTCTTGAAGAGGTGGATGACGCGTATAATCTTGCCACCAATGATAGCGAGTTGTGTGGATACAGGGAGTTTCTCGAGATGCTGACAAATTTGCAGAGGGAGGTGATGCTCCAGGCGATAGCCGCCTACCAGGAGGAAGTGTGGAAGGTAACAATGATGTTATTAGCCGAAGGAGGGCAGGCACTGGAGAAGGCAACAGGCGCCGGCGCGGATGTAGAACAGAGAGAGAGCCCATAGCTGAGGAAAGACGGGGCCACCTGCGAGGGTGACGGCGGAGCCAACGGGTATCATTAGGGCAGAAATGGGGCGACACCGTGACCAGGAGGAACCCAAAAGTATACAAACTGACAAATAACCCCCCTCCCTTCCCCCTAAAAAAAAAAGCAGGAGAAAAATGTCTTCATGGCTTTACAAAAAAAACGCGGCCAGGGTGCGTCAAAATAACTCCACAGGAAGAGGAGGTGCGGGGAAGCAAAACTAGCCGAGCGACGCAGGGAGCGGCCAAACGAAAGAACAAGGAAGAAAAATGAAAGCCTGCCTACATATATATATGTATGTATGTAACCATGTATGTATGTATATTTCTCTCTTTCGTTCTCTCTGTGTGCGACAGATTTTGCTCGTTGTGTATATCTGTTCTAATCTTGGACAGGCGAGACTGGTGAGGTTGAGACGGACATACCTTGTGCGCGGATGCGGACTTATATATATATATATATATATATATATATACTTTCTTTTTCTTATTTTCTAT